ATTATACTATTAGATGTTTTTCATCTAATCTCAATTGTTCCTGCTTCCATTACTCCAAATTTGAATCTACAGTTAGTAAATTATTCTTCACAAATTTACAAAAGATTCAGAAAATAATGAATCATTATACCTCAGAAGAACATTTTATAAAAATAACACTCTCTTGGCTGTATTTTAAATTTAAAAGTTATTTCTAGATCTTCCATCTATATGAACATTTTCTGAGAAGGAATGAAGTGCATTATTTAACTAAGAAATCAGGTTGTGGGAGGATACACGAGGGTTAAAGCAAGAGAGATGATACTGATCCTCCTTTAAAGAGTGTATTCATGCTTCGTATAAAAGTGTGTGCATATAGTATAATTATCTAGTTAAAAGAGTTCAGAAATTTATTTTTAAAAAATGGCCAGCCAATTCAAGTGTAACATGATGACTTTTCTTCAAATATGACTTGACTATATACCTTCCTCTTCATTTTTTAGTCCTTTAGTACAGGCTCTAATTATTTCTCACTTGAAATCCCTCATCCATCCTTCCATGAGTTTCCAGGTTACTTGCTCCTCAATGGTAGCTCATTTTACCGCATAGTAGATTAAGTTTTTAATTGAGCATCCATAGTCCTCCCACATCTGTCCCAACCTGCTTTCCAGCCACAACTTCTCATAACCCCCAAACCAGTTAACACCATCATTACTCTCTGCCTACCCTGATATTATATTCCAGTAACAGTTACATCACTGAATTTTTTTCACATCTCCCACTCTTTCTGCTTTTGCAGGTGCTGTTCTGTCTGCAATATATCTCCTTTCTCACTATTCTACTAAGTAACGCTTTTTCATCTTTAGATTTATCCCAGATATTAAGGAACTCTCCTCTCTTCAGCTACATTTGTACCCCTTCTTATTATATAATAGTCTGTGAATATCTATAAAAAGCTACACTTGTTATATGCCTTTGTATACAGCTGCCTCTTAAACAATAAAGGATATTAGTAAAGTGTATTACTTTAAATTGTTGAGAGAAAATTGTAAGTTTCTTGAGGAAAACGGTAGTGTGTTAGACCTGTTAAGATTCTACTATGTTATCATAGTGTGAAACATATACCAGCACTTTGCATATACTTGTTGAATAAATATATGAATGCAATATAAAATAATTGTGAAACTATAATAAAAAGTCATCAGTTAAATTTCCAAAATTTCGATAAGGTGGTAAAAAAATCACGATAAATAATCATCAGCATCAGAAAGTAAGAGCAGAAGATGTCTAAGGGACTCTTAGGGAAGTAATTTCAGAAGTACTGTTAGGTGAGATGATGCTTAAATTGATTGTTTAAGGAGGAAAAAAGCCACTGGCATTACATTTGTCTGCTTGTCTGTGATAACAAACAACAAACAAAAATCTCAGTGCTTAAAAATATGCTTTATTTTGTATTCATGTTTTGTGTCTGCACCAGCAGATTAGCTGTGACTCTGTTCCTCATGTCTTTATCATCATGTCCAGGATGAAGCAGAAGTCCCTATTTTCGTCAAGCTAATTTTGTGACAGAAGGAAAGAACAAGAGAGGCACCAGCAGATTAGCTGTGACTCTGTTCCTCATGTCTTTATCATCATGTCCAGGATGAAGCTATTTTCGTCAAGCTAATTTTGTGACAGAAGGAAAGAACAAGAGAGTAAGGGGAAACATGCACTATTTCTTGAAGCTTCATTTCAGCCATGGTGTGTGTTATGCGTGTATATATGCCATTGGCCGGAACAAGTCACGTGATCAATTGGATGTATAATCCTCACATCGGAAGCAGCATACTGCACATGGCAGTGGGCAATGACGTATATATAACCTTCTTCAAGGGAGGGGCAAATATCTTCCAAATATTTGTGGAAAACAATACACAGGCATTGAGAAATACAATAAGAAAGTCATAGAAGAACCTAGCAAGAATGTCTTTCAAATAATTATTGAAACAAAAGAGTATGAACGGGTAGGATGGAAATGTGAGGGGAAATTTGGAAAGAGCAGACCTCCCTACAGAGCCAGGGTTTGACAAGGAAGCAGTGCATGTGAAGAAAGAGCTGACTGGAATATTGGGCCAGGACTTCAGTATACTTGAAGAAAAAGGAGATGGATGGAAAAGCATCAAGATGAAGATCAGATCAATAAGAGTAAAAAATAGTGGCAATTATGACAGAGAACTTAGAATATAAATTAAGAGAAAGGACACAGACTGAGAGTAAAATTGTATAACTGAAGAAAGATCAAATAGTGTAAATAAAAGTAGTGTTTTCATTTTATTGTTGGTATTTTTTCAGCCTCAAACTTTTCATTGAAACATCTTCAAGAGGTTTTATAACAGAGCAGTAACAAGGGAAAACTTTTAAAGAAGTTCAAAATTGAAAAAGAGCCAGTAAGCAGGGCAAGACTCAATAAAATTGGAGTAAAATGATTTTTCTGGCTGCGGTCAAGGCAAAAATGGGAAAAAGGAAGCACAGATGTCTGGTGGCATTAGCCAACGCATACCCTCCACAGGGTCCATCCGTATCTTCCAGAAGGAAAATTAATTGATGGTTGGCTTTACAAACATTGTCATTTTAAAATAAAGAGATTCTAGGAATTCTAAGATATGAGAGTTCATGACCATGAAAGGAAAATGTGACTAATTAGTGTAGTTGAAGTAAAGGAGGTCAGATTAGGATGTGTAGTTGATTCTGTTAGGAGAAATTAGGATGTGGGAAGAGGATGATTTGCTTTTGGAAAGGTCAGCCTGACATGGACAAAACAGAGTATGAACTACATGATTGATCTGAGTGGCACAAAATAGCACATTCTAGTATTTATCTCCTTATGGACCCTGAAATAAATAAGTATAGAAATATAGAACTAAATGTTCAGATTAGAATGCAGACCATGATGGACTTAAAGATTCAAACTTTGTTAATTGGATTCATGTCTGAATTATCTTTCTTCCTTCAAAGTGAATGTAACACAAACATAAATAATCTAGTATGGAAACAGATTAAAACAGGCTGTGAATGAATTAAAGAATTTAGTAATGTAAAAATTACAATCACAGAATGGATAATAAAGAGTTAACATACTATGCCTGTCAGATAACATTTCCTTTTTCCTATCATATTTGAATTAATATCTGGGTATAAAAATATATATATAATTACTTATGCATATGGATATATAACAACATGTAATAATAGCAAATACTTATATAATGCTTCCTATAAACTAGCACTTTTTAAAGAACTTTACATGTGTTAATTTATATTATTGTCGCCATTTTCATAAGAGAATACTGAGCACAAAGATTTGCTCATGTTGAAATATACGTATATACACCACCATAAATCCTTTTAGAAATAGTGTGGCATGCAGGTAAGTCAGTAATTAACAAACTAAATAGATACTGTGTGTTATCTTTGTTTATTGTATATAATAAAGAGAGAAAGAGATAGAGATGCATATACATATAGTTAGATATTCCGTATTTAATCCTGTCCTTCATGCACTGAAATCTTTCTCTTGAACAGCAGGTCAAATCCTCCCCTAGCTATGCCATCCTTAATAAATACCGGACTCTGCACTACTAAAAAGGAATCTGGAAAGCTAAATCTCCCCTGAGGGCCTGGTTTCCATTTGGCTGAAATATAGGTTGCTTATGGCAGAATACTTAGGGAAGGGGCTAGACACAAAAGGCTTCCTATGCCATCTGAAGTTTTAATTTTGTATTGAAGGTAAAGGGAAGCTTTGAAGAATTATTATGGTCAAAATGTTTGGTGGAGAGGATGGTGACGTTGTGAGATTAAAAATAGAGAAACCCAATGTAGCAATTCAAGAAAAAAAAAAAAAATAGGAAGACAGCACTCTCATGGAAATCATCATGATAGAGAAAGTAGAGTATATTAGAGAAATGTTAAGGAAATACAATAAGTATGTCTTGAAAACAGAGTAGATTACCAAAATGGAGACATCTATGATAACTTTAATATATCATGTAGAATGTCATGCTAGCACAGGCAGGGAATATAGTAAGAGAAGCAAGTTTGGAGGAAGAGATGTCATCATTATTTCATAAACTTAGTTATTAATGTTCATTAATAATTGAAAAGGTAATCTTATGAATTCAATTATTAAATTTAGAAAAAAATGAAGATAATGTCAAAAAAATTAATTTCAGCAACAAGCAATTCATGTGATTTAAAAGAAAAATCTAGTATGATAGTATACTACGATTCATTTGACATTCTTTCGACAACTACAAATCCAGCAAAAGGCAATTATTTCTACACAGACTCTGAAAAGTGTGCTGAGGATGACAGCCTTAAATAAGTCATGGGTCCTGTCTTGAAGCTGCAACACAATGTAACAGATGCTATCGAAAGGGGGGAGAAACTTCTCCCAGGCATAGAAGATGTTTATTAGGGAAGTCTTGAGTGTTGAGTTTACATGGTTGATCTTTTAATAAACATATTGATAAAATGAAACAATAATTAATAATTGTAAATTAATAATTAAGTGATAGATATACTAAGCACACTGATATGATCATTGCACATAATTTGAATGTACCTAAATATCACGTTATATTCCATAAATATATACAATTATCATGGGTCAATTAAGAAAAATAAAATGAGGGGTAAAAAAAGAGAGAGAGAGGGAAATAGAGAGTAGAACAGTGGTTACCAGAGGCAAGGAAAAGGAAGGGGAGGGAGGGCAGAGGAAAGCTGGGTAGACTGGTACAAAGCTACCAAGTTACAGGTAGATAGGAAGAATAAGTTCTCATGCCCTAGGGTAACCAGAAAAGAAGATCTTGAATGTTACAACAACTGCAAAGAAATGATAAATGTTTAAGTGATAGAAATGCTAACTATTCTGATTAGATCATTATACGATATATGCATGTACTGAAACAACAAACTGTACCACATAAACATGTACCATCGAAAAAATAAAATAAAATAAAATAAATGTGCAAATGACTGCTTACCATTAACAATAACAATGATATCCCGGAAGTCAATTTCTCCCCTGGCCTCCACTCTTCCTTCGCACCTGTATATACCTTCCTCACTTTTATTGATGTTGAGAATCTGTAGATTATTGTTTGCTAACATTGCGAACCGACCTGGAAAGTAAACAAGGGGGAGAAAATGTTATCAGTAATTGAAGGCTGAGTCTAGTGTGCTCTAAATTGCTAAGAGTTAAAATATGGCACTTGTCTGACACTATCAAACTTTTCATCAACAAATAAATTCAAATTTGAAAGTAAAATGTAATTTCATGACTTCAGTTTTTCCATTCCACATTGCCTTGTTACATCTGTTTTCTAGAATACATTCAAGACTTTATATCCACATAAAATGGTTAGGCTCTTATTTTCCCCTTGGTATTTTGGATGTAGAACTGATACACAAAAGAACAATGCAGTGAGATTAAATATTGTAGACATGAAAAATTTTTATTGCAAATCTGTTGCAATTGGGGTTGAAAAGGATTAGAAAATTTACTGCACATCCTTTTTCATACAATAATTAAACAAATAATTTTGCATATGCTGAGGAGATAGTTAAATGACATAATATTCAAGTCACATAAAAGATAAAAAATGGTTATATCTTGAATTTATTTAAGGTTTTCATTTTGGATAAATGCAAGATAATTCATTTTAAGAATAAATAGATTAAACTTTATAAATTTAATATCTGGATTCTGTTGCATATGTATGTGTACGTGTACATGCATATGTACAAAGATAAGCTGGTATAGATTATGCATTAAGTGATCGCTGAAAGTAATCGGCTATAGAATTCTCAGATGTCTAAGCAGCATCTCAGCCTGACCTTATTTTCCATGTCTGGTCTCAGTTTATAATTATCAACATTTTGTTGCAGCGCTAAAACCTTTTCATATCATGGAAAGAATGCTTTTATATTTAGTCGTATTTTGAAACATGTCGTACAGGAAATATCTTAAATGTATTAATTAATACATCTATAGAGATCGTTGATCACCACCTATTTTCTAGATTCTGTATTTGAGATACAATGGTGAATTTGAGAGATGCAACTTCCTATCCTTTTTGGACCATTTAGTTAAGTAGAAATGTCATTATTTTAAGGTACCCAGTTCCTAAGATATCTACAGTGTAGAGGTTACTTTTTGGACCTGACTAATGTTACTGCTCTTCCTTATCTGCTGGCTTGGTGGAGAAATTCAGGAAGTCACTGCAGCCACATGTGAAAAAGGCAAAGCCTCCACCAACCCGAATTGCTGAATAAATGAATGGGGTAGAATCCTACCGCTATCCCTGCTGCCAATTGCTCTTTGCCTGAGTGAGAATGCACTGCTATGGTAGCAGGCCATTTGGATTTTGGGGTTATCTACCACAGCAATTCCTTAGTGATAGTCAACAAATTCGGGCCAGAAATAACAAACAGAGGAGTCATTAGCCTATATAAATAGTTCTTAAAACAGGACAGAAATGGTTACTTGTCATCTAGGAGATAATTTATAGGGAATGGAAATGTGCATATTTAGAGGCTCTCTCAGAGAGAAAATATTGATTATGCAGCATACTACAAATACTACAGCTACGGGATTTTTAGCCCGGGAAGTATAAACAGTTCCATAATGTTTATTTCTTCTTTTGTTGACCCTAAGAAGAGAGACAAGAATGTTTATGTACATTCTTTCCACTGAAAAACTAAAGCACAAACATAAACTTTTATCACCAAAGGAAAGATTAGGGAAAAAAGGCAATCTACATGAAATTTTAAAGCAAAACTTACAAGAAGTCATCAAATAACACAGAACTACAGAAAATTCATAAACTTTCAAAGTCAATTAAAAGATCCTCTATTCAAGTGTGTGGCTAGAAATTAAAATGAGAAGCAATCATAAACCAAAACAAGTTCAAAATTAGGAGGGATGCACCTAATCTCACCTATATCACAGTAACATTGTATTTTCTAACTTACAAAAATAATTATCATCCTTTAACTATAAGGCTCTTTAGTGGTTATATTTTATTTGAATTAAGGAAAATAGTAAGGGGAAGCATTATTTTAATTAGGAAGGCAATGTTTGATATAAAAAGAAAACAAATTAAAATCACATAGTATTCTTCTTCGATGTGCATAAGTCAGCATTTCTTCTAATTGGAAAATTTTACTTTCAAATGGCCAGTTTAATGCATTTTTCTACTACCTGAAAGAAAATTGTTAAAACCTTAGGAAAACAGTAAATCTAAACACATGCTACTATGTATGCTTATGTATATAACCATTTATCCATGTAGAAAACAAACTGAAAATTGCATATCAAATTTCAAATATGTGTGTAAAGCCCATGGACTGTTGTTAGCAAACTATCAAAACAAAGCACGTCATTAATATGTTTTCAGAAAACATTTGAAAAATGGACTGCTTCAATCAGTCATCCATGTGGATATTAAAAATACTTAACTCTTATAGATTATCTGTTTTTCACAGTTTTACAGAAACCCAATTTTCATTATCAAAGTAGGAAAAGTACATGAAATCAGATAATACCCAATAAGTATCTGCTTTATGCTTCTTTAACAAAGTTCCATAACTATCTGTTTAACAGTTTACCAGATGTACCTACTTAGAAGAGTTAGAAGAGCATGTCTAAATTTAGTTCAATATCTTCACCAAATATTTCTCATCTGGCATTCTCTGCTTCTGTCTTCACATGTCTTTACAATATCTTTCCATGGAACTCGTTGCCCAAGACAAATTCCATATGTTATGGAACTCTGTGCAAGGGAAATTCCATGAGCCATCTTGACATTTCCATCTCTTTCAGTCTACATACCTGATCAAACCCATGTCCTGTCACTTCTTTCTTTATCATTATTTGATCTAAGTCTTCTCTCTCAGCAATTATTTCACTAGGATCTGAGCTGTTCTGTGTCTGGAGTTTTGCCTTGACTCCCATCCAATTCATTCTCTTCACTGACATACTAATATCCTTCTCAAATACATATTACATTATGTTGCTGTCTTGATTCAAACCCTTCAACAATGCTCTCTTTAAATGAATTCAGACTCCCTAACGGAGATGTCAAGGCCATGTTGACTTGGCTCAGCCTTCCTTTCCAGATTCCTTTTTATTAGTCCTTTATTAACAAATCCTAGTTATTTTTATCAATTTGTGTAAGTATTCAATTTGTACTTAGTCATAAATTCTAGCTACAATGAACTTACTGCATTTTTGGAATGAGCCATCCGTGCTGTCTTTCACCTCTGATCTTTTGCACATGGTGTTCTCTCTTCCTGAAAAGTCACCCTTTGGCTGGCTAATCTCTATTCATGTTTAAAGTAACTTTTTTCTCCTGGCTGGCATCTTTGACACACTCCCTTTACCTAACTAGTTTAGGTGTTCTTTCTTTATTATCCTCTCTTACTGCTCTTTTATCATAGACCCTAAGTACCATGTTTTCACTGGTTTATATATTTATCTTTTCATCTAACCTATTGTTATTTTGACAGCAGTGAACTTGTTTATCTTGTTAACCATGAATCACCAACATCTAGCAAGCAAGAAGGAGAACACTAGGTGTTGAATAACAGCTGAATGAATCTTTTATACTAGAAGTAGATTACATAAAAATTTCATTGAACAAGATAATTTTATCCATAGTCTTTGATGCAGAAAGAGTACATGAATTAGGTGTTGATGAAAGCATGTATAAAGGTGACACTGAAGTCAGGATATTGAACTTTTATAACAAAATGTGAACTTTACTCCATAAATGCTTGGAAATTTTAGCATATGGATCTCCTTTTAATGAGCAACATGGAAAAATTCTACATTAGTTATTCTGTAGAAATTTGAATTCTGAATGTCTGCCACACAGCTACTATCAAAATCATAGCTAACAGGATGAACATACCCAAGCCTTTATTGTTTCATCTGGAACATCTAAAAGTTACTTCTGTATCACGTTAAGGCAACAGACAGCTACCCAAGTACACTACATTATTCTAAATCCCCATACACATTCCTTTCATAGTTATAAACCTAATCTTATTCCATTAGCTTAAATAAAGGGATCACGCAAGGCATAATCAGATGAAGAGTATTACTTCTTGCAAATCCATTAAAAACATAGAAATTGTTGATAATAAACTGCGTGCTAACTTCCTCCGGTATTATATGGTTAGAAAAGCTTGTCCTTCACAAATTACTTGAATACTTTAAATCCTGTAGTTAAAAAAAAATACTATTTTACCTGTTTTTGTGCATGTGTTCTTAATTTTTTTTTTTTTTTTGGCCTGTCATGCAACTCAGTGTTAAGTTTTGTACTTAACTTTAGACACTTTCCCTACATTGGATTTTCTGGACCCAGATATAAAATAAACACATATAATTATTTTTTTGACAAAACTGATTTTCATGATTTAAAAACTCGGATTTAGACACTTTCCCTACATTGGATTTTCTGGACCCAGATATAAAATAAACACATATAATTACTTTTTTGACAAAACTGATTTTCATGATTTAAAAACTCGGAGAGAAGGGATAAGAATGATAAATGTCAAGTACTGAAAATCTGACATATTGACTAACATTTTATTCACTGAACAAATATTTAAAAATGCCTAACGTCTTATTCATAACTCATAATCACTGCTTAAAATGGATGTAACAATCCACTGTTTATAGACGAAGAATCTGATTTAGGTACAGAGCAGTTAGAAAAGTTGTTCAAAGCCTCAGGTCCAACGAAATGAGCAGAGCCAAAAGAGAACTCCAGCTTTACATTATTCCTTCCTGGGATGCTGGAGAAAAAATGCATAAGTGGTAAGATAAAAGCATCACTTCCCCATCACCACAGTACTTGACTGTCAATCTTTGCTTTGAGGCTTTTGTTCTACGTGTCTTTTTAAAAATGTAATTCAGTTCAAAACCTTCTTGTAATTAAACTTTGCAATAAACCAGATGTACACTTGAAGCTTAAGATTAGACAGTCTGAAAATGTTTAGACATTGTCATTTAATTGCTGTAAAAGAGATGCCTTTTCTTTATTATTGAGGTAGAAAAAGCTGACAGTATCTCACACAATTTATTCATGTGACTTGTTAATAAAATCTAAAGCAGTTATGCTAAAATCAAACGAGGAAATAAAGAACTATTTAACATTAACTTATTATAATAAAAACAAAGAGTTTTAGTCCATAACTGACAAGCATTGAATATTCCAAGCTCAGAAAAATTATCTCAAAATTATAAAAAAAACGACCATAAATATGATCATGATACATTCTCTCCACATACTCAAAAATAGATACTCTCTACTTTCTCTCCTCTATGCTTTAGAAGTTCCATCCTTGGAAACAAAATGGAATCATCCAAGACAGAAAGTAGTTAAAAAGACTCAATTATTTTCTCTCTCCCTGCAATACAGGTGCATTGGAATATATTCTAAATTGAAAATGCTCCCTATGCACAATGGTAAAGGAGCATAATGTAAGTAAATGATACTTTCAATTTCAGATGTCATATTATTCTGAAATTTTAGCTCAGTCTAAATCAAAATCATGAAGACAAGTTGAGTGAATATACTTTTCTGTCTATTATCTATATGCATCTTACCATAATATTTAAAACATGTAAGATGTCTTTGACGAATGACCCAAAATGTAAACAGAATTCATATAGATATTATTTTAAGTTTACATACAGTGAGCCTATGGGAATATGCTTAAATTATAATATGTAGACTCATAATGCATCGGGATTTACTCCTTCATTTACTTAGTACTGTTAATATTGTATTAATCTTTCCTTGAAACTAGAGCAAGGGTCAGCAAACATTTTCTGTAATGTAGTTCTCAAAACAACTCTGTGTTTGATATAAGTACTATTATTATATCCATTCCTGTAGATGAGAAAACTGAAGACAGAGAGGTTAGGTGACTTGCTCAAGGTCACAGAAATAACTGATAGAGCCTGGTTTCAAATCCAGGGAGTTAACAGGCTACACAAAGTTCCTAAGCAGTTTAATGATTCCTGAATGTGAGAAAAAGAAAGGAACACAGGAAGCAACCCATCTCAAGTCATAAAACAAAATGTAAACATGGAAAACCTTGACCTCACTAATGAAAATGCCTGGTGGGGAAGAATCCTGACTAGATACTATGCTTTACTAGATTACTTCTCAGTGTTCTCTCTGTCTGCTCTTTTTCAATGATCCTTCCCTCAATTCTCATTCTAGAATAGTCAGTGCTACGACATACACAATTTCATTTATTTTTTATTTTCTTTTTTGGGTGGCAGATTGATTACGGGTACAGGAACTCTCGACCTGGTATTGTAACACTGAGCCCTAACCAACTGAGCTAACAGACCAGTCCATGACTTCATTTGTTCTCATCATAACCTTTTATTTTAGAGTAAGAAATTACCCCCAAATAAACTTCATACCACTAAATAAGCAACTATTTTCTACTTACTCAATGGATTCTAAATGGCCTGGAATAATGGAAAAATTGTACTAATATTATTTAGCCAACAGAATTGTCTTCATTTATACTTTTACAACCACTTATTATCTATTTTTTTTTCTTTTTGAGAGGCACTATGGTAAAACATAAATAAATAAATAAATAAGACCTGACATCCGTAACGGTCTTAGAACTTTGCATAGCAATAGTTCTTAATCAGTGTTAGTTTTGTTATTAAATACATTTTATTTTCTTTGAATTCTGTATAAGCAATTACAATTTTAATTTAAAACATAAATACATGACTTACGGTATATTTCCAAAACTACTGTAGCTTCTTGTGTCTGTCCTTTGGCATCTGTTGCTTGACAACGATATATCCCTGCATCTTCTATATTTGCGTTGTAGATGGTTAATCGTGACCTAACACCTTCCTTTTGCACCATTACTCTCTGTGTTGAAATGATCTTCTCTCCTTGCGGATTAAACCAATCTATACTCTCAGGTTCACCAATTGCTGCAAAGAGCCATGGAAAATGAATGTTTGAAAGTATGTCCCAAGTGTTTGTTTTGGCACTGGCAATATAGTGTTATGTAACAATTTTAACGATCTAAAAAGAAAATGTAAATAGGAGAAGACTAGAAATCTGAAAATCTTACAAAATTTAAAGTAAACACAAATGTTCACACAAATGTTCATCTTTGTTTATCCATCATTGAGGATTCAATCCGTTTCAGTAAGCAATGTCCAAAAAAGTTCCATAGGAAACTTCCCTCACAGTGTTTAAGCTGTGATATTTGAAACTTTACCTTAGTTATCACTGGATTATTACTACATTTCAGTACTGAAACTGCCTTGGCCACTGAGCCAGGCATTAACCCCACCTGACAGATACATCTGAATAGACACACAACGAATAACATGATTTCACCTGCTCAATTCTCTTTGCTAGGGTCAGGAGATCGCACTTTCATCCCTGATAATGCAGAGGTTACAAAAATGTAAATAATTTTACAAAACATACTTTGGCCTTTGATAATACTGTATTTTAAGTTAAAATCCCAAGTTGTTAAACTTGTATAGATAAGGCCAATGACTATTTTAAAAATGAAGTCCTGATTTTCTCTTTTCCTAACTGAAATGAGTCGTTTCATCATTTTAATCTGAAATTGTTAACTATTTAATGATATGATAATTAAAATGCTTTGAAATGATACTTATATTGCTAGGTAATTACAACCAAATCATTACAGGGTAAACATTTATTTAAGTTTTCCAATTCAGAATCTAGGTTATTATCCTCTCTGTAAAGCTGAAGCTTCCTGTGTTTGCTTTTAGTTACCAGAAGGATGTATTTCACCTAATTACTTGAGAGATAATTTGTGGAAGCAGCATACACTATCAACTCAGAAGAATTGGGGGAAAATGCAAAAAGTTAACTAACATCTGCAGGACCTCTTTAAAGAAAATTGCTCCATCTCATTTTTTCTAAGAAATGATTTTAGAAACAAATTATCCTCCTTTCTATAACAAATTAGACATGCCTGAACAAAAGTATGAAAGAAAGTTTAGTGAAATCTTAAATAGATCTTCGTTATGTTATCTTCAGTTTGTCCCAACAGAACCATAAAAAACATAATGGTTACAGGATAGTGCATTTGACAGGGGGTGGGGAAATGAGTAGAGTGGTGATATTTTAATTCTTCCGTTCATAGGGAATTTAATTTAAATGAGCATCACTTTAAATTTGAACAATACAAAATCTCATTTTATACAGTAAATTTAATATAATATTCTAAGAAATACTTTGGACACTTTCATTCTTAACATGGTAAAAATTTTATGGAGAGTTTATTCAGGATTTTCATAAAGCAATCATAATTCTCTTTTTCTGACACCTCTAATAAATAATAATTTCCATCAAAATTTCCACATTGATAAGAATGAACTACTATACAGATAATTTATAAATATCATTAAACTTTTTATGTTCTTGGAGATGTAGTTATAAAAATTTATTTGCTATATCTGACACACTCTTATTTAGCTCTCTGAGGTTTAAATTTAAAACATTTATTTTATTGAGTTTTAGATGTCAATGTTTTTAAGGTGTCTGGAAACTTTAGAGTCATATTTATACAGTCACCACTGTAGTAGAAAAAATACATATAAACATTTTGATTTGAATGGATGTCCCATATCTTTATTTGTAGATTATTGTTTGCTTATTGTTTTACTACTCTATTTAATATAAATGAGACCTTGATTATGCATCTTCATATAAAAGAAAAAAATGTTTACTTAGTTTGCCTTCTTATTAACAGCAAAACTCAGTACTACTAAATAATGTTAACTCATACTTTAAAATTATGTCTTAATTTGACCTCATGTAACACACACAGGCTAGTACATTATGCAATTCATGTCATAGCTATATGCATATACAATTTCACTTTATTTTCAAAATTTATTTTTACACTATTTTATTATCCTATTATTACATGATACAATTGTGTGTGTGTGTGCATCTGTGTGGATAAAATATGGATGAGATTTAGAAACAGGGACATATATACTCTTATGCCAAAACTCTGTTTTCACTTTATTTTCAAAATTTATTTTTACACTATTTTATTATCCTATTATTACATGATACAGTTGTGTGTGTGTGTGTGCATCTGTGTGGATAAAATATGGATGAGATTTAGAAACAGGGACATATATACTCTTATGCCAAAACTCTGCGGACATAATATGTGATAAACCAATCTCTCTGCTACTCTCTGATTTTCCATTTGTCAATATACAAGAACATGTATTAACAGATCTATCAATTCCGACCATTAGGAAGGCAAATGTAAGAAGAATCATGGGCTCTGTTAATGTTTTCATAAGATGTTCTGGCTTATAAATGTCATTATAATAATGTAAATAATCCATGTCACGCTCAAGACAACTTTTATTACGTATTTTATGTCACTAATGCCTACTTTAATCAAGTTTTGAATTGCTTTAGTGTAATCAGGAATAATAAAACTAATTCTAAAATATTCTCATAAGTAATTTTGGCACTAAGTGAATGTTTTTGAAAACTTTAGGTATAAAAACTGCATAAAAATGAATTTGATAAATTTAAATAGCTGTAGAATATATTTATTTGTGAGTTCTACAATATACTGATTTAGAATTTGATGCTGAAGTACTTAAATGACTTCTAAAAGAATTTTGCATGTACATGGTTAAACTGAATGAGGCCCATATAATTTCCCATACACATTATGATATATACTACTTTTGATTGACAGTCATAAAAATATTGCCAAATCTTTCCTTATTAAATAACTATCTAATTTTTAAATGAATATTCACTTTTCAAGAGTTTGGGGGTTTTTTTTGTCCTATAATTTTCATTCAGGTGTAACCATAATGCAGTGTGCCATATCTAATTTATTCATTGCATATTTATCAAATCTTTCCTTATTAAATAACTATCTAATTTTTAAATGAATATTCACTTTTCAAGAGTTTAGGGGTTTTTTTTGTCCTATAATTTTCATTCAGGTGTAACTATAATGCAGTGTGCCATATCTAATTTATTCATTGCATATTTACGGGAAAGGTGAATGAGCAACGATTTTCGCAAGATAAATAAGATAAGTGAAGGAACCAAGGCAATGGCGATAAGATAGAAAATATGCTCAGTATTTTAAAGAAGTTTTTTTTTCTTTTTTTGTCAAATTTGAAATAAAATAATTGAATATTCTAAACTTTTAGAAGATAAAATTAAAAGATAATTAGAAGATAATTCAAATTTTGTTTCAGTATGAATTGACAGACATATTTCTAATAATATGGTGAACAAGACAGTGTGAACACTCCCCAAACTCTGTCTCACCATCCCTAGCTCTCAGAAATGCATATTTGAGCTTTCAGTAAAGTAATGAAGCTATAACGGATAAATGAGGAAAAATCTGAAAGTAGAGTGCAAGGTTGCACTGGGAATTTGCTGATCACAGTAGAGAAAAGGTTTATTGAGGTGAGCACAGACTGTATAGAGACAGGATCCAAGCTTGTCCAGAACAACAAGATGCTGTAGAACATCAAATACCACTGGACAGGAATAAGATTCACCCTCAAAGAAGGGTGTAAAGTCAGTCAACCCATTGGCAAAGGGAGAGGACAAGGAGACTTGCCTCACCTGACCTGGGTAGGGAGAAAATGCTTAGACTAACCAGCAGTTTTGCCATATCCCAGATTTAGAATGTAAGTTATAAACATGCTCTTTGGGAAACCCCAAGCTGAGAAACTAAACTTAAAAGCAATTTCACATGTAGGGTTCACAGCTAAGTAGCAGAAGCAAACATAAATCTCCTTTATCAACACTGATTGCCCAAGAATTTTATAAATGAGGCTCTCTTTAATCTAAAGGCACATTCTTACATTATAAAACACATGGTGAAATAAGGCACTGTGAGCAAGTCAGCTGAAACAACGAATAGGAGAACTAGACCCATGTAATTTCAAATAATGTAATTTTTAGAGTAAATATATAATATAAGTATTTTGAAAACATTTAAAGAAATAAAATGTGGATTCAAAAACAGGAAAAGAACAAAATGTTTTTCAAGAAAGAACTGTCAACTATGTTGTTTAAGCTCTTTGAAACATGTTTTCTCATATTTCCTATCTTCATTTGTTAAATTTCTTCTTTTTCAGAAAATTCTCTGGGAAACTTGGACTGGGCTACATGGCTTTCTTCTCTTCTCTCAGCTTTGGGTCCTATTTTCATTCATAATTCCTAAATACTCAGAGAGTGCTTGCAATATTATAGAGGCTCAACAAGTGTTGAAGTAGATCTAACATATCAGAGAAAAACAAATAAAGAAATTCACAACTCAGAAAGAATTGGAAAAACTAGTAGAATCAAGGAAAAAGAGTATCTAAAAACCATTAAGTCATAACAATTCTAGTGAAAATTCACAAAACAAGGTTCTTCTTTTCAAGAAGTAATTAATCCCCTTGGTAACCTCAAAAGGGGTCAACAGAGGCAAACTGAAGAACTCAAGAAATTCGAAAGTGCCCTTGTAAGAAGCTTGAATCTGAAGAAGTGGGTAGAGTTATCTGAACCCACAATTCTGGGTATGGGGACAGGAATTACATAAATTGGAAATGACCTGAGAATGCCTATGGATTGAAGAAAAAGCAGAAAAGAGTTGAAGAAATTAGAGTTTAAAGAAAAAAAAGAGAAATTATAATTTTGCCCTTCATTCTCTTTTCTTTTCTCCCTTTACTTTCTTCTTTAGGATAGTATTATATTTCAGGATATCAATTCTCTTTTCTCTTTGGCTCTTCAGTCTGTACTTTCCCAAAGTCTAATCCTGCAATCTCCAACCCTCAGTCAACAGTCAGCTGAAAAGCATACTTTAATTTTCAACTTTCTATGTGCAAACTGAATCCATTCTCCTTCCACCAAAATTTGCTCACTGTTCGCTATTCCATTTTTTGGTCACTGTCAA